AAATTTTCACAAATGCCTAGGGTGCCTAAATGGTTTTCTTGGCTTCACTGGAGATGGATGGTAATTATAGATTTGCTTTGTTTATGTCACCGTATTCCTATTATGTTAATATGTGTGTGCAAATTAGTTAGTAGTTTAAAACCTATACATACTTAAGGTACTATACAAGAAGATATGTCAAAGAAATAATCAATCCTCCCAAGTTTCCTTCATATGCTACATCTATAGCTTTTCTTCTTCCTTCCTAATTACAAACCTTAAATAGAATTCGTGCCTCATATCGAATTTACCGAGTATCATAATTCCTCCAGGTGGTAAAGATACCTCGAGACAAGTGCTGGGCATAGAAGCCACAGGGCATAAATCTGCAAAGAAGTAAAAAGCTAACCTTTTCAAACAATATGGCTTCTCTCTCACTTACCAACTTTACATTTCCCTGTATGGCCCCGGAAGATGACTGGTTAGCCAGAGACGGGTAAGATTCCTCAAGGGAGGAACAACCTAAGACAGGCACAGTCGCAGGGGAGCCATCAGGTGAGAAATTGGGGATCAACAGTGGTGAGGCTTAGAACCTCACCCCCTTGTTTTGAGAGAAATCTTCTGCATCCGTGGATGTTTTAATGCCCTTGTCTAGCTTGGATTAACACATAGTCTACAGGCACACACCTGATCATCTACAATTGCTTTCTTACAACACTAAACTATGTTTTCTACCTTTATCTTGCATCTACCTACCACTTCAGCATTTTATTAAAAATAAAAATAATAATAATAATAATAAAGGGAGAAATGTGGGATCCACATATAAGTCAAGTATAAAAAAAAAGCCATCCTTTGTGAATATCCTGAGCACCACTATCTAACAATTAACATGCAGGTGAGAAATTTTTCTGGCTAGGTGGGCCCTGGTGGTGGCAGGAGAGGCCCATGTGGAGGCAGGCTCCCCACCTGCCTGGGGCAGAGTGACATGAGTCCTCAGCCCCCTTGTCTTGGCAGCTGGGTGGTCAAAGTGGTGAAAACCCTGCTGCTGCTGATGGACTGTTCATATGAGGCCGCCTTTGTGGAGGACAAGGGCAGCTGGGAACCACCACCCTGGAGTGTCCCTGGTGGCAAGGTGAGGCCAGGGCCCAGGGTAGGAGTCAGAGGGAGGGAAGTGACCCTGGTATCTACAGTTAGACTTGGGTTTGTATCTCTCTCTGAGCAGGACCTTCTCCAGTCCATCATCTCTTCTCTAAACCGGACAAGTATTGTCTACTTTGGCAGGTATACTGCAGAGGTGAGAGATGGCATGCATTCTGCAGAGGCAACCTGCAGTTGTAAGTGTCCCTGGCAGTTGCAGAGCACATAGATTATTTATGAAGCACATTTTCTCACTGCATTAGGAGTTTAGTTCCCACACTAATGCAGAAATTGTGATACAGCCAAGTAGTTGAGAGCATTGCCTCTGAGTTGGTCTGCCTATGTCTGAATCCCTGCTCACCACTTCCCAGCTGTGTGACCCAGGGCAAGTTACTTCCTCCCTCTGGGTCTCAGTTTTCCCATAGGTAGTACAAAAATAATAAGACCCACCTCTGAGCTTTAGGGTGAGGATTAAATAAATCACTTTGAACAGCCCCTGGAGTATAGTAAGACAACACAGGGTAACTTGGACTACCACTATGTTGACTGGTGGGGCAGGAGTTATTAATGTACATTTTGCAGAGAAGGCTGCCAGGGACAGAGAGGGGCATCTATGTACCAAAGGTCACACAGCCAGGAAGTGGCAAAGCTGGGAAATGACCTGCTGACCCAGACCGGAGCTCTTCACTGCCCCCGACTATACACAGCCTCCCATGGGGATGGGAGGGGGCACCTTGATTTCAATAATGTGGCTCCTGCAGAAAGATCCTGTTTCTTTGCCCTGCACCCTAAGTGCTCAGGATGGTGTTCTTTGTGGTGGTGGGGGTGGGAGTGGAGGGTCTCAAGATACAATTGCGTTTGTCGGGTACTTACTCTGTTCTAGGCACCATGCAAAGAGCTGTATGTATGTGGATCATTCCACTTCGCCCTTAACATGTCCGAGGAAATAGCATTATTATTATTTTGGTTTTATCCAGGAGGAAACTGAGACCCAGAGAAGTTAAGTGACTTGCCCAAAGTCACACAGCTAGTGGTGGAGGTAGGACTTCAACCCAGGCTGTCTTATTCCAGACTCTGTGTCTGGCTGCCACATTTCCTGGATTCACTGATTAATGGAGCAGAGTGCAGTACTCCTCAGACTTGAGCATGAGTCAAAATACCTACAGGGCTTGTTAAAGTGCTGATTGCTGGGCCTCACCCCTCAGTTTATGATTCACCTGGTCTGGGGTAGGGACCTGAGAATGTGCATCTCTAACAAGTTCCCAAGTGATGCTGAGACTGCTGGTCCAGGGGCCACCCTTTCAGAACCACTGGTTTAGTAGAATAAATGAGGCAGCTGGAGCAGGGAGCCCTGGTTTGGGGCTCTACTCTGCTATTTTTCCAGCTCTGGGTTCTTGGGTAGGTCACAGCTAATGCCTCTGTTTTCTCATCTATTAAATGGGGACAACAATATCCTGCCTTGAATGGTAATGGCAAGGATCAAATTCAATAACAACATGAAAGTATCTGGCTATTGCCTGGCACTTAGTGAGTGGAGCCACACATCCTCTCCTGCCTGCCTCTTCCTCCTGAAATGTTCCTGTGCAGTTGGTGGTCATAAAGCCTGTTTCTCTTACTGATCTGCTCTGCACTCTCAGGCAAGCCATTTTCCTGCTCTGGGCCTCAGTATCCCCATCTGTAAATGAAGCGGTTAAACTAGATGGCCTCTGAGATCCTGTCGGAAATCCTGGGAACACAGGAACACAGGCGACCCTGACTTGCCCAGTTTCAAGCGTCATAGCTAGACTCCTACTCGGCGGGTTCCTCTGGGACTGGAGAGCCTGAGGGGACCGCCCCCCTCCCCTCTGCCAGGGCCATGGTGCACTACAACTGCCCAGAGCTGTGCCGCATCCTCTACCTGATCATCCCACTCCTGGACTGAGGCGACGAGAAGCACAAGATTACTGCCACGGCCTTCTTTGTAGAGGTACTGACCAGGCACTGGGCACCAGGCTGGCAGCCCCTCCCCAGCTGTCCCTGAACATTGGCCTCAGTTCATATTACTGGTCATTTCTCCTGTGCAGTCGTTCATGACCATGATTTCTCTTGAATATCAAGAAAATCTTGTAGGTGTCCCTCCTTCCTGCCTCCCTTCTCTTCTCTCTCCACCCGTTCTCCCTGTGCCACTTCTCAGATCCCCCCTAGTGCCCCAGACAACCACCAACCTCTGCTGGGCATTGCTATGTGCTAGGTGCCAGATTGGAGATATAAGGTTGGAGATAAAAATATGAAATTGACTCTTCCCTGCCCTCAAGGAATTCTCAGCGTGGCAGGGGAGACAGAGGACACCCCTATTATAACATGGGATACCATAGAGTGACTTGTGCTATGATGGGGGCATTCCAGGTTGTGGTGGGAGAAAAGGAGATTCGAGATGGTGGTGGGGCATCAGGGAGGGCTTCCTGGAGGCAGTGATATCTAAGCTGAGTGAGTATGGGAAGGTACTAGGAGTTGCTGGGGAGAGATGAGTTGGGAAGGTTGGTGGGGTCTGACCCAGAAGAGGAGACTCAGCAATAATAATAGCTAACATTTATTGAGCACTTACTATCTTCTGGGTAGGTTTTAAGAGCTTTACACATATTGGTTCATTTAATCCTCACAATAATCCTATGATATAGAAACTATTTCCTTCCCAATTTTAGAGGAGGAAACAGGCATAGATTTAAGTAAACTTCCCAAGGCCATGCAGCTCGTAAGTGGCTCCAGGATTCAAACCCAGACATCTGGGCTCTAAAACCCACTCTCTCTCTTTTTTTAGTCTTTAAAATTATGATAAAACATATATAACCTAAAAGTCCATTTTAACCCTGCTTAAGTGGCATTAAGTACATTCACGTTGCTGTGCATCCATCACCACCATCCATCTTCAGAACTTTCACCTTCCTTCCCAAGTTCAGTCTCTTTCCCAAACTGACACTGCATTCATTAAATAATATCACCCCATTTCCCTTTCCCCCAGTCCCTGGCAACCAATATTCTACTTTGTCTCTAAGAATTTGCCATTCCTGGTTTCACGTAAGTGGAATCATACAGTGTTTGTCCTTTGTGTTTTGCTCGTCTCACTTAACATCATTAAAGTTAGTCCATGTTGTACCATGAGTCAGAATTTCATTCTTTGTTAAAGCTGAATAATATTCTGCTGTGTGCATATACACATTTTATTTATCCATTCATCTGTTGATGGACACTTTTAAACTCATTCTCTTACCCGCCACCCTTGCCGGCCCCTTGTGACCTGCTGGTTGTCAGGCAGTGGGTGTGAGCTACATGAGGGTCTGTGCAGGGGCTCAGAGGAGGGAGGCTCACTGTCTGCTTGGACATGGTCTTTAAAAAATTTTTTTATTAAGGTATTATTGATATACACTCTTATGAAGGTTTCACATGAAAAACAATGTGGTTACTACATTTACCCATATTATCAAGCCCCCACCTATACCCCATTGCAGTCACTGTCCATCAGTGTAGTAAGATGCCACAGATTCACTATTTGCCTTCTCTGTGCTACACTGTTTTCCCCGTGGACACGGTCTTTCCTGACAGGTGATTAATTTGTCAGGTGGACACGAGGCAGCATGGATTCCAGGCACTTCTTGCGTCTTTTCTGCCTCTCTACTGGACTGTGAGTCTAGGGAGGAGGCACCATGTTGTGTCTGGGCTGCAGCCCCAGCCACAGCCCTGAAAGCTCCCCAAGAAGTAGGGACCAGATGGATGAGTGAGTGTCCAGCTGAACACTGCCTGGCTCTGTGGGCACCAGCAGACTGTCACCTCTAGAAGGACAAGCCTGGGTGGTAGGGTCAGGACTCCTGGGTTCCAGCCCAAGCTCTGCCAGGTTCTACTTCCATTTCCCCCATGACCTGGAGAGGGAAAGGGAAAGTTCCATTTCTCGAGGCCTGAGATGTTCCAAAAAGGGCTGACCTCTTTCATACGTTACCCTACTACTCTGCGCAGCAGGACTGCAAAGGGCTTGTGATGCTCATGTTTAGGTGAGGTAAAGTACTGTTTGCAAGGTCAAACAGCTGACAGAGTCCAGAGAAATTCACACCAGGTCTGCCTGACTGGTCCTTCTTTCCCAGTCAGCCTCATGGCAGAGGCCCTTCTCTCCAAGTCTGTTAGTGGCTGCCACGTGGGTTCTTGGGGGAGGACCTTGTCAGACCTCAGTGGAGGCTCCCATGTCCACCACAAGGTCAGGGACTCTAGGCTCAGCCTTTCCCTGATGGATTCCCTGATGGAATCCTGAGCAGTGGCCCTCCTCCGGGGGCAGGGTCTGCACCCAGGTTCAGTCCTCCCATTCCTGAAGAGGTGGCCTGTTCCTGGCCAGAGGAAGGCCCACCATGCTCACTGTGGTGCTTTGACATAGCTCAGATGTCCCTCGCCAGCTCCCCCAGCCCCCCATGCTGTGATTGCCCATGTGCTGGCTTCTCTCAATGGCAGTTGAACTCAAGGGAGCTGTGTGACCTTGGGCAAGTCCCTGAGCCTGCCTGTGCCTCAGTTTCCTCACCTGTAATGTGGGGATAATGAACTGTCCATCTTCCCATTCCTGAAGAGGTGGCCTGTTCCTGGCCAGAGGAAGGCCCACCATGCTCACTGTGGTGCTTTGACATAGCTCAGATGTCCCTCGCCAGCTCCCCCAGCCCCCCATGCTGTGATTGCCCATGTGCTGGCTTCTCTCAATGGCAGTTGAACTCAAGGGAGCTGTGTGACCTTGGGCAAGTCCCTGAGCCTGCCTGTGCCTCAGTTTCCTCACCTGTAATGTGGGGATAATGAACTGTCCATCTGATAGGTTTTGATGAGAACTAAATGAGTTCATGTAAGACACTGTAAGGCGCTGGCACATAGGACATGCTCTCTGAGGCAGCTCCACTGGTATTATTATTATTATTATTATTATTATTATTATTATTATTATTATTATTATCATCATCATCATCATTACTTTTTTCTGCATCTCTGGTGCAAGCCCAGACTGAGTGCAGAGCAGACCTGAGTATGGGTTGTATGGATGGGTGGAGGGTGGGGGTGGGTACACAGAGAAAGTTCCTTTTCTAATTGGTTCTCACAGTGGGAGCTCTTTTGTAATCATGTCTCCCTAGAGACTTGCTTCATTGCAATTGGTCCACCTAGAGAGGGCACATATTTTGATTGGTCCTGGAAGAAGGGGGCATTTTCCCACTTGGCAATAAGGCACCTTTAAAGTTAGTGGGATTCCTGGCTGGGACAAATGGGCAGAGCTCCAGAACTAGACTCCAGTGAGGGGGACACTGGCCTCTGCTGTTCTCCATCTCTGTGCCTGCCGGGGCCCTCAGAGGGAATGGGAGTGAGACCTCAGTGCCTCCACATGGGGTGCAAGGGCCCAGGCAGCCTCCTGGTGGAGGGAGCACACCTGAGCCTCCAGGTCTGCCCCAGTCACGAGAGGATGTGCGCTCCTTCTGCATTGACCTATATAGCAAGGTAGTCCAGAAGCTGCGGTTGGCCCGCACCCCGGCCATGGAGGAGCAGCTGATCAGAACCTTGGTGCCCCTGCTGCTGATCGTGCAATGCCAACGTGGGCCAGGTCAGTGTGCACAGGCGCCAGGCCCTGTGGGGGTGCCACCCTTCATGAAAACCAAGCCAGAATCACTAACAATCTATTGTGAGTAATTCTGTTCTCCAAAGGCACCCAGGATTCTTCCTCAAAAGAACCAATTTCACGTACGTATTTCAAATAGGAACCGATTTTTCAAAATTCAGTTTCACACAACTTTTTTTCCTAGAACATGTGATGGCTGTCCTGAAATTTCACAGCTCCAGTATTCTCTTCCTGTCGGTCCCCAGAAATGTGTGAAGACCCTGTTCCACTGTTCTTGCTTCATGGCTTGGGAATTGCCCGAAAGAGCTTATAGCCAGAAGCCCTGGGACAACCAGAAGCAGGCAGTGGCCAAAATTTGCAAGTACCTTGTGAGTGCTTCTGAGACTACAGTGGTTCTCTATGAGACTGTTGGGGGTGGGCAAGTCTTTCCTTCTCTCCCCTTCTTTTTACACAAGAATTCTGAGTGACAATTCCATTGCCACCTAGAGGTTGTTGACTCCTGAATGAATGTTCATCTCCATTTCTGACTTCTCTCTTCATTTCCAGTGCTCCTGTACTGTGGCTTAAGGGACACCTCCCCCAGCTGAACCACATGCATGTCAAGCCTGTCTTTTCTGAACTTGTGGCCTTCCCATGCCAGTTCTGCTCTGTCCCTCTAGATCCCCAAAGCTGACATCTAGAATCATTCTAGACTCCCTCATCTCCCTCATCTTCTACAGTTGATCTTAAATATCTTAAATATCTCTGAATCTGTTTTTCCTTCCTCATCCCCACTGTGCCCTAGATTCAGGTCATGGATGTCTCTCAGCTGGGCTATGGACCCAGCCATCCACTGGGTCTCCCAGCCTTTAATTTCATCTACTATCCCCAACAAAGCCAATTACAACAATCTGGTTAGAACACAAGTCTGTCTATGGTATATCCCTGCCGGAAGGGTTTCACTGGCTCCCTTTTCTACAACAGTTATTCTTAGGCTGTTTCTCTGTGATGCTGGTCCCACATGACCCACAGGGATAAAAGATGTTTTAAGACACATGAGTTTGGGACATGCGCATTGTCATCTTCCTCTTGGAGATCTGCAGTGACATGGCACATTAAAGCTCTGAGATGCTCTGTGCTGAGGAAATGCTTCATGGCTGTTTAATTCATGGTTTGCCACACACAATCACAGAAGCTTTGCATGCTAGGCCCAGGAGTTTACTCCCTGACATCCCAATTGCCAATAGAAGAGTGATCAGATTTCATCTCCTTCAACAACTTCAAACAGAAACCACCCCTAGTTTTAACTTGATCAAAACCATCCTGAACACCATTGTCAGACTCTTTTGCCCAATACATTGCTTGTCTTTGCCCCACCAAGAAAGAATGCTGGCTTCCTATTTTCTAATGCTTAAGTAAGCCCTATTCCTGTCTGGCTTTTAAGAAGTTCTTATTCTTCAATTTATTTCCTATGAATCTGTTACCTGAATACTTCATACTGGTAAGATCTGTCCCCTTATTTACCATGACCCTTGCACGCCATGTCCATACTCACCTCTGGTCGGACTTGCATTTTAGAACTGTCCTTCCGGTTGTAGCAAGAGGGTGGGTTGGAGACACCAGGCAGGATGACCATTGACATGCTTATTGTAATCAGCTAGGAGAAGATGAGCCCCGGCCTCTGCGGGTGACAGGCAGAAACCAGGATGGGCAGCAGGGATGTTTAGGAGGCAAGGGGCCAGGGCTTGGCTGCCTGATAGGGTCTGGGAGGGGTGGGTGGGTAATTAGTTCCCCTAACTCAGCACTTTTGCAGTTTCTCCTTGTCCCAGGTGAACACTTACCAAGACAGTGCCTTCACATTACTCAGCCAGAGTCTGCAGTACGCCAAGAACACCTGGGCCTCCCTTTGGAAGTCCTCAGTCATGTTCATAGGTAACAGGGCAAAACGAATCTCCTGCTGGGACTCTGCTCACCCTCTAATTTGCTTCCTCTCCTTGGAAAGAAGCTGCCAGCCCTTCCAGAACCTGGGTGAATGCTTCTCCTTGGGTGCAAGTTTTGGCCAGAGGACAACCATGGTGGACATTAGAAAGGTCTTCCCTCCTCTAAAATCACTGCTAGAGAAGTAGACCCCTGGGAGGTTCATCCTGGACTCCTTGTGCAGGTCACAACCTGGGCAACTGTACGTTGCAGAACTACTGCTTCCCCCTTGGAGTACAGCTTAGGACCAGGCCCAGCAGGTGCCTGCCATTGACCTTGGCAGGAGGGGCCACGCTGCACAGTGAGGGAATGAAGCAAAACCTCAGCTCCATGGTCCCCTTCCTACGTGACCCCAACTGAGTCATTTACTCCCACTGAGCCTCAGTTTCCTCATCTGTAGGATGGGGATCAACTCCTGCTTCACAGACTGGATGAGAAATTTTTAAAAAATATGAAGCCTGGCACATCAATGTGCTCACTAATGTTAGTCACCTTCATTCTTCTATTTCCCACAATCCCAAATTCTGCCTTTCCTGGGGGGGGGGGAAACAAATAGATTCCCCTTACTCAGAACACCCCACCCCTCTGCCTGGGTCCCTTCTGACGGTTTGCTGTGTATATCTCCTCAGGGCCAATCACCTCCCCTCCTACAAATAACCACACCCTCTTCACCAAGGACCAGGAGACCCTGCTTCAAAGAGGCTTGAGTGCATAAAGCAATGTTTCTTTTAGAATCTTCTATCAATTCAACTGTAATTTTTCATCCATCTAGCCATTGCTTTAAAGCAAACATTGGTTGATTTTCCATTCTGTATCAAGCACTATGCTTAGTCTAGAGAAATACAGAACCCTTCAGGAGGTGATGCTGACGGTATGGGCTGGGGGATGCTGTTAACATGATCAGTGCCAGGACAGAGAAGCAATGCCTAGGGTTCAGGGCACCACTCAGAATGTGGGGTGCCTGATCAGAGTCACCTTCTCACACACAGTGACATTATTTCCTGGGACAATATTCTCTAAATATTGCTCCAAATTAATCACTTCTAATAATATTGGTGTTTAACATCCTGAGGAGCTTCTCTGCACCAGGGCCTGTGCTGGGGAACAAAGCTGAGTAGAGGCTGCATCTGCCCGCAGACATCCCCTAACATAGTGCAGTGATTCCTAACCTCTTGGCGGTTACAGACCTTTTGTGAGTCTCTGAAGACAGTTATGAACACTTTCCCTAGAAAAATGCACCTATGCATACAATTTGTACATGTGACTTAAAGATCCTCAGAGACTGCCACTCCCATCCCTCTCCCCAGTGGATCTAAGCTTAAGAGACTCCTGGTCTGGTGGGAGATGCTCATTACAAGTATGACACAGCATATACAGATGAGATAAATTGACAGGTATTCTGGGAGCCCAGAGAGGTACCTAGCCTAGCTTGGGGGTGGGTCAGGAAGAATTTCCCGGAGGCGTGACTACTGTAAGCTGATTAATCAAGGATAAATAGAAATGAGCCAGGCAAAGAAGTGCTGGTACCCTCCAGAGAGGTAAGGCCTATTCAAGTGCCTGTAGGTACTTTGAGAGCCAGACATGCAGGCTGAGAGCAGGCGAGGGCTGAGCAATGTGGCTAGGAAGCAGGGTCTCAGCCCCTCCAGGGCCCCACCAACTACCTGCCTGAAAGATATACAAGGCACTCATTGTTCTTCACATTATTGCCGGTCAAACTCCATGGAGAAGAGGGCACCCAAGCAGCATCTCCCCTAGTCTCAGAGGACACTAAGGGCCAGCCTGCAGAAGGGACCACTCAGGGCTACATTTCAGAGTGGTTTGCAGCCCAGACGCTGTCCTTGTCCTGGTGCCAGCCCTGCCTGTTGGATTTGCCACCTCTACGAGGACTCCTCCTGTTTCAAGGTCAAAGGAATCCTTTGATATCTTCATTCACGGGGCTAAAAGAGGGTGGAGAGAGCATCCCTGAGGAGATCTGGTTTGAAGATGGGAGTCAGAGCCAGGAGGTGGAGGTACTCACCTCTTGGATTATGCTCAAGGGTCCCTGGTCCCCTGCATGGAGAACATAGTGACGGAAGATCATCTGAATGAAGTTAAAGCAGGTAAGTCATGCTCTGTGTTGGTGAGGTTGGCCAGTGAGAGAATGAGTGGGCTCACAGCGGGTAATAGGAAAGGGAAGGGGTATGTCCCAAAGCAATGGACTTCAGCTTAGTCCAGTTGTCCTTACTGAGGATGTGTACAGTGGTAGGTACCATGGGGTCCCCAAGACACAGGACACACAAACACACCCCAGCAGAGTTTACAATCTAGGAAACCAGGCTTAGAAAAGAAGTCCAAAAATGATTTTTGGGGTTTTTGGCTAGAAGTTTTGGCCAAACTACTTACAGGGCAAGTAATTCAGACTCTTATTAATGGTGGCAGATTAATTTTGTAGCTGATGGGAGCATGAGGCTGGGATAGTCCAAGACAGCTTCTTGGAGGAGACAGGTTTTGCTTCAGGCTTTGAAAGGTGTGAACAACTTGAGCTGTTGAGAGGAAGGTGAGATGAGGGGATGCTGAGCAGAGTGCCTAAGGCAAGGCATGGACTGAGAAGGAAGGATGAGGTGTGAGACCCATGTGGGGACCTGGTCTTATCAAGTGACTTCTCCCCTCCCGATGACACAGCTCTGGAAAACTTAAGACATGACCCAGAGGCAGCAGTGTATATCTACGCAGCCCAGGCCCAGGATCACATCCTGGCCAGCTGCTGGCGGAACTCCTGGCCATGCCACATGGGGACTCATAGGTGTGTGACCCAGCCACCACACACCGCTGGAGCCCTAGCTCTGAGAACCTGCCCACCTCCCACCATCGACGCTCCTGGATCATGCAAGCACTGGGCTCCTGGAAGATGTCCTTGAAGCAGTGATGTCCCCAAACCTCTAGCTCTCCACAGAGGTGGCTGTGGCCTCAGCCATGCTCACTATAAATGCCACGTGGCTTACCTCTCCATGGCTCATGAATGTTTTCTCAAGGGAGATGCCCCATTGTCTGGAGCAGCCATTGCTCCTGTGACAGATCTGGGAAAAGAGCGTGGCTTTCCTCATTGGCTCAGTCAACATTTATGGATTCACACAGGCTGTTTTGCCCACAGTTTATAAGTGGGGAAGCTGAGGCTCAGAGAGGTGAAGGCTCAAGACCACATAGTAAGTCTTCTGGATGTCTCAGTTTCCCTTCCCCACAGAGTGGGTAAAAGAACAAAAGGAGATGACAACTTGGGTGGCCTTTAGGGGAGGAAAAGAAACTCCCCCAACCCCATGATATCATGCATATCCCAGAACCCTGACCTCTGAGCACCACCCTCAGGTCTTTGCTCAAGGCAGAGACTGGTTACCACTCATTCCGGCAACACTTACTGAGCACCTAACCTGGACCGGGTCTGCCCTGGGTGCTGGAGATATAGACATGAACAAGACCCAGCCCCAGGCCATGAGAAAAAGTCATAGTCTGATGCAGTGGTTTTCAACGAAGGATGAATTTGGCCCCCAGGGAGTATTTTCCAATGTCTAGAAACATTTTTGGTTGTTACAACTTGGAGAAGGGAATGCTGTTGTCATCTAGCGCATAGAGACCAAAGAGTCAGATGAGCATCCTACAATGCATAGGACAGCACCCACAGTGAAGAATTAACCATCCCAAGTTGTCAAAAATGCTAAGGTTGAGAAATGTCAGTCTAATGGAAGTATTAAAGGCATATAATGACACAGCAGCCCAGCAGGTCAATTCTGTGACAAAGAGAAGTGTGGGGGCTGTGAAGTCTAGAGGAAGAACATAGGCCAGCTGGGAGTTGAGGTTCAGAGAAGGCTTCCCAGAGATGAGATTCCCCCACTCCAGGAGGTTTGGAAAGATGACCACATGGTGCACATGTATAGAGGAGAGCAGGGCATATGGGCCCAAGGACCAACCACAGATGTATGGGTGTAATGGACCCTAGAGGGAAAGGAGAGGAGGGCAAAGGCCAGATCACTATGGCCTTGGGCTTATGGACAGGGGAGACTTCAGAGAGCATTGGGAAGGCATGTAGAGTGTTAAGCAGGGGAGAGATTTAAGCAAATGTCTTTCTTCTCATGAAGATGAAGGATCCCCTCAGCGCCGTTGGTGGGAGGGTAATGGGTACAGTCATTCTGGACAGGAATCTGTCATTATTCAGTTGTATGAAGTTTATGCATACTCATGACCCAGCATTTCCACTGATGGGTCCACAGCTGGGGAATTCTTCCCACAGATCCAGAGAGAAGGGTGTATGAGGAAGTCTATGGCAGTCATTTGTGGTGTCTGGGGATCCATCCTCAGTGAGTGCATGGACGCCCTGGAGTCCCATGCAGCACTTAGAGGCAGTGGGGGTATATGTAGCTCCATGGATGGGACCAAGCACCTAGTGCTGAGGGAAAAAGTATATTCAAAATGCATGCGTGTGTCTTACTACACTGATGGACAGTGACCGCAATGGGGTATGTGGGGGACTCAATAATAAGGGTGAATGTAATAACCACATTGTTTTTCTTGTGAAACCTTCATAAGAGTGTATGTCAATGATACCTTAATAAAAAAAATTTTTAATGCATGCATGTATAGTTTCATTTTGCAAGAATATTTACAAACTGAAGATATACATTAAAACACGGAGTAATGGGTGGGAGTATGGAGACATAATAGGGAAGAGATGCACTGGGACATAATAGGGAAGAAATATAACAGGGAGTAAAAGAAAAGCTTACTCTGTAATGGAACAGAAGGGCTGGAGTTGGGAGGGTTGGCTAGAGGCTTTGGTAAGGAACCGGTGTGGGTGGCAGCATGGAATGGGGAGGGCAGCTGATTTGAGGGAGAATGAAGGAGGAGAATTTTCTGAATCTGGTGGGACAGGATGGAGGAAGGGAAGGGAGTTGAGGTGTTGAGGATGGTGCCTGGGTTTCTGGGTGTATGACTGGGTCAACAGTGCACCCCTACTGAGTAGCCCCTCAGGGCCAGGAGCCGGTTGGGGGAGAGATGATTTCAGTCTGGATGTGGTGAGCTTTGGGGGCTTGTGCACCTTTGTGCCTTGCTAGTGCGACATCCACCCTGTGGCTGGCTGCACAGGGGTGGAGCTCAGCAAAGGGATCTGAGGTGGAAACAGATTTGGGATTCATCTGTGTACAGGGGTGAGGGGAGAGTCCTTGGGCAAGTGTGCAGAGTGGGAAGAGGAGACACCAGCCTGAGGAATATCTACATGTAAGCTCCTACTGAAGATGAGGGACCCATGAAGCTGACCAGACAATCCTCCTCCAATAAATGGTAGGCCAAGGCCATCAGGATTCTGGGCCTCAAATAGAGTAGGAAATGGGGGTGGTCCTTTTGCATAACCTTTTCCATTGCCAAGAATGTCCATAAGCATTGTCTCTTTGGAGTCTCACAATATATATGGAATTACAGGGAAGACAGGCTGGCTTCATTGCCACGTTCTACAGATGAAGACAGGGCTCAAAGATGGGTGAGCGTTGACCAAGGTCACACAACGGATTCAGTAGAAGTATGGGTCTCAAAGCTCTCCTAGCTCCCATGTTCAAGCCTTTCCCATCCAGAGACACTGATGCGTTCACTGGCCAGAACCCAGGTCTGGGATGACCTTGACAAGTGACAACTATCATATTCTGTGTCTGGGTGGCCTCAAAGCACAGCAGAGGCTGATAGGCTCAGTTATTGGCCAAGGCCCCAAGTAGTCTCACATTGGAATGCCCAAAGAGCGCTGGGCAAGGCACTTCCCTTCCTTGAGCCTCCCCTATGGGAATTACAGATGGGTTCTGACCTCACAGGGCTTTGTAGGAATCAGATTTTAAAAATGGAAGCTCTGTATGCTCTGTACTAAGGGAAAAGATAATGAAGAGGAGAGTAAGAACAGGAACCACTAGGGAGCAGGCTGGAGGAGGAAGTGTGGAAAAGGAGATTTGGATTTGGAGGAAAGGCAGCAGTTGGACCAGGTGCCTGCTGGCTGTGGGAGAAGACACAGCCTGGCCCTGGAATGCTCACGGCCCTCCTGGTGTCATCCTTAGCCCTGCTGTCTCTCTCATCCTCATATCAAGTAATGACCAAGACTGTCCGCACCACTGCTGAACTTCAGAGCTCTTCTCTCCTCTGGCCTCTCACCAGCAGCCTTCCCCCATCCATCCTTTACCTAGCAGCCCAGGCCTTCTTAAGGCAAATTGCCCTTAAGTCTATCAGTGGCTCACTATCCTCTGCAGGATAAAGAGCTAAAGGGTAGTCAGGCTCCTGGCTCCCACCCATCTTGATGGCCTTCCCTCTAAACTCTTGCAGTACCCAGCCTGTGAGCTGTTGCACACCTCCATATCTCTCTGCCCATGGGCTCCTGTGGCCTAAAATACCCACCTTCCCTCCAGCCCCATCCATCAGCTTTCTTTCCTTATCTCTGCTCTGCATCACCTCCCGGCATCCTCCAGGTGACGTCCCCTTCTCTGGGCCTCCAACGTGCAGACATGTGACCAGCCCCAGTTTAGACTGTCTGCTGCCTGTGGACCTTTCCTTCTAGACCAGGCTGTGGGCTCCCTGATGCTATGGCACCCAGTGCAGGGCCCCAAGAGCCATTTGTGGGTAACCCAATGGCTGCATGCAGAAAGGCACACTGGGCCTGGAAACCTGTTTCCATCTCAGCTCTACAGGGGGTGGTTAAGTTCAGAAATAACAAGTCTGATCACCTCACTCTATTTCTCAAAACTCTCCAAAAGGTCCCATTGCACTCTGAGAAAAAGTCAAGTCTTCAGAATTACTGGCCATTACCCCTCCCACCTATCCTATTCACCCCCTTTCTCATTCTGCCCCACCGGGCCCCCACCCCGCAGCTTCCTCACTGGGGCTGGGCCCTGCCTGTTCCCTCCAGGGGGAGTGCTCTTCCCCAGACAGCCCCTGGCCACCCCAGAACTCCTCCTCTGCTTGAATGCCTGTCTACCCAGTTTAAATTTCTCTCGGATGGCTCTTGCTGCCACCTGACATTCTTACATCTTATTTGTTTATTGTCTGTCTTTTCCCAACTCCTAGAGTGCAGGGATTTTATCTGCTCTGCTCACCACTGCATAACCAGCGATAACGACAGACCTGAAACACAGGAGCTTAGGAAATGCATGTTAACTGGCTGAACAAATGAGTGAATGAAGTGACAGCGGGGCATCGTGGGGCGCTAGGTTAATTCACTACCCCAAAACCATTTGGTGTGGCGGGGCTGCGGCCCCGCTGAGGGGAGGGGCTTGTCAGGGGAGGGTGGAGTCTGGCCGGCCAAGCGCCCAGAACCGCGGAACCCGAGGCGCGCGGGCAGGCGCTGCCCGGAGGACTGAGAGAAGCGTCCCCGCGCTGCCGGAAGTTGCCGCGCTGTTCTCGGTGCTCGCACGGTGGCCGGAGGTGTTAAGAGCTGCCATGCAGCGGCCCGAGCCGGACGCTTCCGCAGATGATGCCATGGACTCGTTTCTGGAGAAGTTTCAGAGTCAGCCTTACCGTGCCGGCTTCCACGAAGACCAGTGGGAGGAGGTGGGCGGACCCCGCCCCGGGGTCTCCGCACGTGTGTGGGGACGTCTTCCGGACTCTTGGGAATTGCCGGCGCGGAGGCGCCTCTCAGCGACCCCGACCTCTGGCACTGCTGGCTGGCGAATACAGGGTTTCTACATGAGGCCTAAAAATCGGCCTCGAGGTTTTGAGGATCCTCTTAGAACTGCCAGCACATGTAGGAGTCCAGGTTTCGGAGGCAGATCTGGGACTTGACCACTGACTGGCCCTTGTTCCTGGGTCACTTAACTTAGCGAAGCCCATCCCTTTGGTAAAATTGCCCTAGCTATAGCACCAGTCTCGTACGATTGTGGCAAAGATGAAGTGAGGTGGTGGGTCCAGTGTCAGGAACACAAGAATGCTCAATTAATGGTAATTACTACAGTTCTTGTAATAATGTGGGAGCTGAAAGAATCTTTAGAGTTTTAGCCTACACACTCTCATTTTAGAGGTGGGAAAAATGAGGCCTGGATAGGGAGAGAGCTAATTATGATTTGCAAATCATAATGAGTAAGAAAGCTTTGATATAGAGACATGGAATTGTATCCACTCAGTGAAAACCCTGTTCATATAGTTCATTTTTTTCTCTTAACACTCTCCAGGAATTTGAAAAGATACCCCTATTTATGAAAAAAGCACCATCAGAAATTGATCCCAAGGAGAATCCTGACTTGGCTTGCCTCCAGTCAATTATTTTTGATGAAGATCGATCTCCAGAAGGTATCTTCTATAACTTAGTGTTTTTTTTTGTGCCAACATTGAATTGAAGAGTCAGAAAGACTAATTGATAACAAGAAGTAGTTAGCCTGAACTAACTTGTCACTGTTCTTTTTGCATACCTACTAAATGCTAGGCATTGAGGATACAGAGATGAATAAAACTACCCTCAAAGGTCATGCTCCAATGGGCAGTGAAATCCTCCTGAAGAATCCTAGGTGTGTGATAAATGCCAACATGTGGCTATATAGTAGGTGCTACTGGAACACTGAAAGTAGGGAGGTAGGAATGGCTCAGAATGGATGGGAAATTTGAACTGAATCTTAACCATTTTGTAGGCTCTAGGGTGAGGAGGAGAACTACATTCCAGGGAATAAAACAACATAAGCAAAAGCAGAAGTATAATTTCCCCCCCCCATTTCTTCAGTAATTTTTAAAAAATCCTTTCTTCAGGAGCTAGGCTAGGTATGCTTTTTTTCTTTATGTTTCTTTTTTTTTTTTTTGGTAAGCATTTAATAATCTACCTTGTAAGAAATTTGGAATTGACTGTAGCCTTAAATATGCATGACTTTGTTTCTCCATATTGATATCCAGCTTTAGAGCATTAATTTTTGAATTTTCTTAACCTATTGGTTTCTTCTCTTTGGTTTATTATAACATTACATCATTGCATGATTTAGAATTAATTTTTAATGAACTAAAAATAGGAAATAGTGATTATTTATACTCTTCTTTACAGAACAGGCCAAGACCTATAAAGATGAGGGCAATGATTACTTTAAAGAAAAAGACTATAAAAAAGCTGTAATTTCGTACACTGAAGGCTTAAAGAAGAAATGTGCAGATCCTGGTTTGAATGCTGTCCTTTATACCAACCGGGCAGCAGCACAGTACTATCTGGGTAAGTCATTCCATTAATTTAGTGCTTTCTAAAGAACTAACTTCTGGTTAAAGCTGTTATGATGGCTTTTGGAGAGTTTGTCAGAGGAGGATGAGCTGCTTATCCCAGAAACCTGGTTTACTCTAATTGAACTCTTATCTTCCAGGTAGACTTGGTGAGAGGGAAATCACGTGTATTGTATAATTCTTACTGTTGGAGCCAAATGAGTGATATCAAATACTTTAATACATGAGTTAGTATGACCTAGGGTTTTTGAGCCCAAATGCTTCTATTCTCTCAAAAAAAATGTTTTTCTGGCCTTTTATCCTCTTCCCAAGGGTGCTAGAAGGATTAAGGCAATAAAGATCTTTGTGTGAGAGAAACTATATTAATCTCGGGAAATTTCTCAAAGTATTCTGTGGGACCTTTGAAGTTAAACATATTCTTTGGACAAGTAAGTTTGGAAAGTGCTGCTGCTTTGTTGGATATTTACAGTGTCCATTATATGTTAAGGATGCTGAGATAACCTACAGCAGAGAACCTTACCCTGTGATTCTCAAGTTTTGTAAGCCCCCCTTTTCAAATAATGCTAACATGCAGGACTATTCCACAGATGTGTCTTTGGGAAGCACTATTTATTTGGGTGCCATTATTGCTGGTGACTTGCCTTGGTCATGTTAGACCAGTGTTTCTTATCACAGTTTAGGGGAGGACCTGAGAATGACCTCAGGCTTTTCTGAGGGGCTGGTAGAGAATAAATCTTACAGTCCAGTCAAGGTAAGTCATCATCATTTTTGAACAGAGTTTCTCCCCAGCCATAATATGCTTCAACTGCTTTTTCCTTTAGACTGTTTCATTATAAAATTCTAAAATGTAAGAGTCTAACAGAACTTTAGAGATTATTTGGGCCAGCCAACCCCTTCATTTTACACAGGACCAGAGAGGGACCCTTTAGTTAGTGTCAAAATCTGAACTAGAAACTAGTCTGGTGGGGGATGGAAATGTACTCTGCACAGCCCCATTATTAACATTTCCATCTCCCACACTGGTCTTCTAACTTCTGGAGAAATATTTTTTCTTCATTCAGCAAACTGAGTTCTTGTTCTGTGCTAGGCACTGGCATCCTAGAGATGAGCAAGACCTGACTTTTCCCATAAGGCATTTCATTCATTTACTTATTCCATCAGTAAACATATATAAAGCATTTGCTATATGCTAGGCACTGGACTATAAAAGAGCTACACAGTTCCTTTCCTTGGGGAACTTAAAGTCTGTCATGTACAGGGCTAATAAGATCAGAAACACCTTGCAAGAATGAACTATGTTTTTCAATACCAGAGGAACAGATGCATAATCAAGCCATTCCGTAAATGATCTTTCAGTAGTGCAGCTTACAAAGCACTTTCACACTTGTTATCCCTCTTGACCTCATAGCAACTGTGTGAGATAGGTGAGGTTAACAGCTTTATCCATGCCAGCAGAGTAAAAAGCTATAATAAATGTAATAAGTGTAGTAAAATGTATTGTCTGAGGGTACACAGTGCTAGCATTAGGATGCAGAATCAGCTTTGGCTCAAAGTGCCCTAAACAGAAGACACCTTTAGCCACACTTCCAGCCATACCTGGTGCTGTCAGATCCTTCGGCCCAAGTGCTTTGTAGGTTCTGCACTATGGCTCATTCGTTTTTGGGGCTTTCCCTCAGGGCGTAGAATTTAGTTTTCTCAAGCCTGATTAGTCACTTAGCCCTTTTCCCTTTGTTTTCCAGCTTTAAAATGTGTTATTCCTCTGGTGTCTGTGGGTTATGGCTTTTTTTGGGAGGAAGGTGGAGAGTGGTGGGGGCTGAGTTAAATGCACAGGTTAAGTCCATCACCCTTAACCATAAGTCTTGGGATCTCTTACATGCATTTTTTCCCATAGTTAAGGTAGTGCTGTTCTTCCAATTTTGCATTCAGTTATTCTCACTTACTTTTATAACATAAACACTTTTAACTGTCATTGAAATGATTTGTGAATACTATTTTAATAGCTGCATAAAGTTGGATCACATGGACATAACAGTGTTTGTGCTGTTTGTTTTAATGTTCTGCTGTTGAGTATATAGGTGCTTTTCGGTTTTTTGAAGTAATGCAAAAATGAACAAAGTGATTAAGTTTTTCCAATACTTTTGATTATTGTTTTGACTAAAGTATGATTTGGCAAACTGTGGCTCCCAGGCCATGTCTGGATTTCTGGCCTCCTGTAAGTTAATAATGTCTTTGATATTTTTAAAGGAGTATAAAACAGAATGTCTAACAGACCATATGTGGTCTGTAAAGCCTTAAATATTTACTTTAAAGAACAGTTTTGCTGACCCATGGGCCAGAGTCTTAGAAGTGAAATTAATAGGTAAATAGCAAATGTTAAGTAAAATACTTACAATATAAACTAGAAAGTGAAAACCTTCCTCATGCCCTAGCCTGGTTTGAATAACCAGTATGTTTGATTGTACACCTTTTTAAAATGCACTTATAAATATGTGTGTGTATGTGTGTCTATATATTTAGATTGGTTTGTTTTACAGATACAGGGTTCTATACACATTGGACCACCAGTTAAAACAATATAACACAGATGTCCTGTGATGCCTTTCACGTGCAGGTCTTATGCTTTTTAATGGCTGCATAGTATTCAATAGTATGGATTTCCCATCATTTATTTAATCATTACGAAGTTGAGGATATTTTGGTTATGCCAGCTTTCAATTTAACATACTTTTATATTTATCCTTACACATTTATGCAAGTATTTTAAAGGGTAAATTCTTAGAATATTGCTGGGTCAAAGTATATACACAAACTACATGTTAAGTTGCTCCTTAATTTATCCTTAGAGTGCCCTTTTTCCAGATATTCACCAAAATGGGATATTATATATCTTTAATTTTTGCCAATTTCATGTTACTTTAAATTTCCCTCGTCATTAGTGATGTTGAGCACCTCTTCATGTGTGTACTAGTCATTATAGTTATGCTGTGGATTGCCTGATATAAACATTTCTAAGGCTCTTGATGAACATAACTCTTGTTTTTTTTTCCCTAAAAACAGTTGTTCTAATTTATATTTCTTCAGGATTGTATAAGAGTGTTTTTGCCTCTACAGACTAAATTTTGGAAATACTCTGATCTCAAAATGTGTTCTTTTACTAAATGGTGTTCTGTTAGGCAATTTTCGTTCTGCTCTCAATGATGTGATGGCTGCGAGAAAGCTAAAACCTTGCCACCTCAAAGCAATAGTAAGAGGTAAGTCTTGTAGAACTGCAATATGATTGATTGTCATGATGGAAAAGTTAGCACTCAGTGCACTGAAAATCAAAAGTTGAGACATTTTAGGCTTTAATATTAAGGTGGTAAGCTACTAATGAAATCACCTTATTTTTGCAATCTTGATATTAAATTCCTGGTTCTAATCAACAGCAAAATGCCATTTTTAAAAGAATTCCCCAGAGAATAATCTAGCCCTTTGTGTTGTAAGAATTTGTAGAGAAATTGAAACTCATTTTAAATTAATAAAGAATAAAGTTAATTAAAATAAAGCAATTCCAAAAGCCTCATTCTAATTTTTTTCCAGATTAACTGATTGAAAAGTGAGATCTTCAAATGCTATATTAATGTTAATTAAAAGATAAATTATGGGACCTTTACTGATAACTCTGATGCTGAGATGTTCCCAGATTTTTTTTTCTCTTGTAGTCTGACCTTTCTATGTAATACGAGTGCTTCCATTACTTTTTTACTTTACCTTTTCTTTGAGAAGCTCAAAGGTGCTTTGAAAACATTAATTTATTCATCACATATTAATCCCCCCTATATCTCCATGGACCAACTTAAATGCTTTAACAAAGCTGTGCTTTAGTTATTCATGGTTGGGGGTAGTCAGTAGATCCATTTCCTTCAGCTGTAGGGAAAGCTGGTACTAAACAAAGATTGGCAAGTAAATGGAATTGAGGCCTTAGAATAGGCCACAGGCTGGAAGTTTATAATCCTCAACTGAATTGGTAATTTTACTTTACCATGTGACCTTGGGAAGACACCCACTCTTAGTATCAGTTTGCTTGCTCATCTCTGGAAGATGAGGTTGAATTCTGTTGACATCTAAGCCCTTATGGTTCTGATACTTTGAAATTCTATGAAGCCTAAAGAGGCTAACTGCAGGAAAATGAACATGCTTAAAGGAGAAGCAGCTTAAACTGGTGGCCATCAAGAGCAATTTTAGGAGAGACTTAATGTCTGGTCTTGTCGCTGCTTTGATGAATGGCTAAGGCAAATTCTGCTTTCTGTCTCCATTAAAAAAAAATCATCTGAGATGGGCTTCTCATTTGCAGGTGAGGAACCTGAAACTCAGAGATACTCAGTACTTTGTCTAAGGTCTTGTTGGTAAATGACAGAGCCAGATTTCCAGCCCATATCTGTCTGATTCCAAAGCCTATGCTCTTTGCCACTAGGCTGTAGCCTTCCCTGCTTTTAAGGGTCCTTAATATACCAGGGAGGCTTACAGGAGTTTGGAGCTGAATTGGCCCTAGAGATCTTTCCAAGATTCAAAAAATAACCTTCCTTGTCTGGGGATTATAGTAAAGTACAGGGCTTTATCATCCATTTTCCCTTCAGGGTACTTGGCTGATAGCTGGTGGATGTGAGGGATCCTGCTCAAGGAGGGGTCTTTATATGCATGTTATCCATGGATCCTAAGGGTTCTGGGTTCTGCAGGTGCCTTATGCCATCTGGAATTGAAAAACTTTGCTGAGGCTGTGAACTGGTGCGATGAGGGGCTGCAGATAGATGCCAAAGAGAAGAAGCTTCTGGAAATGAGGTCTAAAGCAGACAAACTAAAGGTTCGTGGCAGAATTAGTAGTTGGTTGGCATTTGTTAATTAGCATTCTCCAGATTGTGGTTTTTTTGTCATTGTAAATGTTTTCTTCTTTAAAAACAAAATACCAAAACAGTTTCTACCCTTGGAGCGCCAGGATACAGACTAGTAAATAAACTAGTAAATAGTTATAACATGATAGAGGAAAGCAAAAATATATAGTATGTATAGTAGTGGTATCTTTTTTTGCTTGGGCAAGACCAGCACAGAGCTTGGGGTAGCAGAGGTTTGCTGAAAGAGGTGATGCCTAAGTCTAAGCTCTTGAAGACTGAGCAAGAGTTTACTTGCCTGCCATGTTCGGGTGGGGGTGGGTGGGGCGGGTGGGGAACATTCCAGACAGGAAAAAGCAGAATATATTTCTGAAACTCAGTCCCCTCTTTGAAAATAGTGAACATAATATGTGCTTCAAAGTTTTAATGAGGATTAAATGAGAATGTGTCTATATATGTATGTGTATTAGCCCGTTTCTTGACATACAGTAAGGACTGGTTAATTTATGCTGTTATTTGAATAAATAAGAAATAGCATAAGATTGGCTTAGTCTAGTCTGCACATTGTGTAAAATTCTTGAAAAAGAGGAAGGGAAAGGACAGTTAAACATTTAAACAAAACCTTAAGCTTCTACAATACTGTGCTACTCCCAGCACTAAGACACGTATAACTTGCTGATGAAATGCTACATTTCTGACACGTAACAGCAATAGTGATGATAAAACAATAATAGTAATAGAATACCATCCCTACCAAAAATAATATCCAACACTAAGATTGAACTTACTGTGTGTATGTTCCAGGTGCTATTTAATTTTTTTTACTTACATGACTCCATCTAGACCACACAGTAGTACTGTAAGGTAGAAACTATTCTAATTCACTAGTGAGGTAGCTGAAGCACAGAGTGATCGGGAAGTTGCCTAAGTCACACAGCTGTGGTGGAGCTGGGCTTCACAATCAGGCAGTCTGGCCCCAGAGTCTATGCTTTTAGTCTCTGTAATACTGCTTCTCATGTCTATTTAATACAAAGCCAAAACTCAGCTTTAGGCCTCCCAATTCCTGGTCTAGATGTCTCTTCACTGCTTATCCTATAGAGTGGGGATTTTCAGTGCATGGGAACCTTTAGCTATTCTTGAACAGGGATAGGTTTTAGTCAGAGGTCATTCTGGTTATATGAAATGGTAGAAAAAATAGATATCTCTGGACTTACATGACTCAACAACAGATACTGAGCCTAGGTAACTGGATGTGGGCCAGGATTTCTACAGATAGTAGATGTAGGAGAGAATATCTAGAGGGCTTCTGTAGAAGGCCAAAGCCAAGCTTATCCACAGAAAAATCCTTAGTGGACCTATATGAAAGCTTCTATGTCCAGCACAGGCACAATTAAAGGGAGTTTTCAGGGCCCAAAAGCCTAACATTAGGTGTAGGTGTCCCTGCTGAGTATCAGGATTATCCCCGTATATCTGTAAATTGATTCTAGATTCCTATGTGCTTGGGATGTGTAAGCAACAGACCTCAGGATTATATGAATATCAGACATAATAGATTTCAAGGCAATGAGTGTTATCAGAGATTAAGCAAGGCATTTTTTAAAGAATTAAAGGGTCAGTTTATCAAGAAGATTTAACAATTCTAAGTGTGTATGTACCTAATAACACTTGAAAGTGCATAAGCAAAAAACTGACAATTCAAAGAAGAGACAAATCTACAAATAGGTGGAGATGTCAACATTCCTGTCACATAGTAATTGATAAAACAAGTAGATAAAAACAATTAGTAAGGAGAGGTGATGTCAGCAAAAATGGCTAAAGACCTCCAAAGTTCTCTCTTTCATAAAGTCAGTGGAAAACTAGCAAAAATGGTTAGAATCAGAATACATTTCAGAACTCTGAAATGAACTAAAGGCTTGCAGCAATTATTTCTTAAATAAATACAAGAAAAATGGCTGAACCTCCGTAAGAACAGTAAGCTTTGTACATAGCATTTTAACTTGCCCTATTCCCACCTCCCTTCTTCCTACCTCTACAGTATCCTTGAAAGCCTATAGCCCACAGTCATGGTGAAAATGAGTAGCCTGGCAGCCACCAGAGGAGGCAGAATGGATTAGAGCTCCTTCAAAGTCCCATTCTCAGAGAACTGTCATTATTTTACCACTTGGTAGTATCCTAGAAGAGTCTAGTCATAAGGCTGTTTTTATTTGACGAGTCTTGGAGGTATCCCAGTATGAAAAACTTTTTCAGGTGGGTGGTGGTTATGTTTCAAAAACAATTAGAGGCAAATATTTAAGATTGCAGCTGCCTGAGGCAGTGGATAACACTTGGGGCAAACAATAGCCTTATCAGCAAACTTAAAGGGAAAAGCTTGGGAATGAGATTCTATAGGGACTTTGAAAATCTCTAACACATTCCTGGGATCTAGAAGGTTACATGTGTGCCTAGGGCTACACAGGTGCACAAGAAAGACCTGTGATGGCCCTAAGCTCTCCCCTGTAGCTGAATGGGAGGCTTTGTGCAAGCAGGAAGGAAAGGCTAAGGCTGCACTGTAAACTGGGTGAGTAGTGAAGGCATGCCCAACACACACAGCCCCTTGGCAAAGACTAGGAGACTTCTTGGTCTTAGGCATTTAGGGATATCTGTTCAGTCATTAGCTGACCACTGAGCTAACTGATTGGAGACTTTAGTAATCACATAAAAACCCAACTTCACAGAATTAGTCCAGAAAAGTCAGTAAACAATCACAATGGTGACAACAAGCACTGGTGTGGGGCGAAGAAGAGACCCTTCCAGACCAGAGTTGCCACATTATGTTATTTAAAATGTCCAGTTTTCAATAAAAAAACAAGACATGCATAGAAGAAACTATCGCCCATATCAAGGAAAAGAAAATCAATAGAAACTGTCCCTGAGGGAGCCCAGACATGGGACTTTTATAAGACAAAAACTTTAAACCAGTTGTTTTAAATGTGTTCTAAGAACAAAAAGAAACAATGTCTAAAGAATTTTTTTAAAAAAAGACAATGATATCTCACCAAGTAGAGAATATCAATAAAGAAAAGTTATTAAAAAAGAGCCAAATAGTAATTCTGAAGTTGAAAAGCCCACCAACTGAAATGAAAAATTTACTAGGGGCTCAACAGCAGAACTTCAAGGATAGGTCAATCATGTTACCCAGTATGAGAGACAGAAAGAGTAAAGAAAGATGAAGAGAGACTGAGAGCCCTGATATACTTGATGGCATATCACTATAGGCATAATGGGAACCCCAAGAGAAGAGAAAGGGGCAAAAGAATATTGGAAGAAATAACAGCTGAAAACAAAAGGCCAGATTTTATGAAAAACAGTAACTACCCTTCTAAGAAGCTTAACAAATTCCAAGTGGGATATACTTAAAAAAGTCTACACCCAGACATCATAATCAAACTGTTAAAAGAAGACAAGGAAGAAAATCTTAAAAGAATCTTCCAAGATTCCTAAGATTTGGGAATCTTAAAATAAAAAGAGAATCTTAAAATCAAGAGAGAAGTGATTCTTCACATGAGGGATACTCAGTAATAGGAACAGCTGATGTCTCATCAGAAACCATGGAAGTCAGAAAGCAGTAGAATAACATTCAAAGTTCTGAAAGCAAAAGACTGTAAACCAAGAATTATGTATCCAGCAAACCTTTCCTTCAAAAGTGGAGAGGAAGAAATAACACTGCAAATGATAGGATCGTGTATATAGAAAATCCCCAGGAATCCACTAAAATGAACATTAGAAACAATAAATTGGTTCAGCAAGTTGGTAGGATACATTGATATACAAAAATCAATTATCTATAGACTTTTAATAAACATTCCATATATGAAATTAAGAAAATTCCATTTTATAGTAGCATCAAAAGTAATAAAATCCTTAGGATTAAATTTAACAAAAGTAATAGAAAACTTGTACTCTGAAAATATAAAAAAATTGTTGAAAGAAATTTAACCTAAAAAAATTGACAAGAGATACCTCATGTTCATGGATTAGATCTTAACACTGTTAAGATGACAATACTTCTCAATTTGGTGTACACATTCAGTTCAGTCTGCATCAAAATTCTAACAGGCTTCTTTGCAGAATATTGACAAGTTGATTCTAATATTCATATGGACATTCAAGGGACCCAGAGTAGTCAAAACAATCCTAAAAAACAAACATAAAGGACTCACTTTCCAATTTCAAATCTTATTACAAAGCTATAGTAATGAAAACATTGTGGTACTGGCATAAGGATAGACATATAGATCAATATAATTGAGAGCTCAGAAATAAACCCTTGTGTTTATTATTGACAGTTGATTTTCACTAAGAGTACCTAGACCATTCAGTGGGAAAGGAATAAGGAATAGTCTTCAACAAATGATGCTGGGACAATTGGATATCCACATAAAAAGAATGAACTTAGACCCCCTTCCTCCATACTATATACAAAAATTATCTCCAAATGGCAAAGACCTAAATGTAAGAGCACTGTAACTATAAAACTCTTAGGAAAAAGTATTAGTATAAATTGTCATGTCCTTGAATTAGGCAATGGTTTCTTAGAAATGACACAAAAAGCACACGCAACAAAAGAAAAAATAGATAAACAACATCAAAAGTAAAAACTTTCATTCTTCCAAGAACACCATTGAGAAAGTGAAAAGATGACCCACAGAATGGGAGAAAATATTTGTAAATCACATTTGTTAATGGACTTCCAGCTGGAATATATAAAGAACTCTTAGGTTCTTAGTAATTAAGAGACTACTCATTTAAAAAAAATGGACAAAGGATCTGAATAGATATTTCTTCAAAGATGACACACAAATGGCCAACAAGCATATGAAAGATACTCAATGTCACTGGTTATTAGGGAAATGTAAACCAAAACCACAATGAAATACTATTTCACACCTACTGGGATGGCTATAATATTTCTTTAAAGGAAAATACTGTTAAGGGCAAGGACAAATTGAACCCCTCTTATGTTGCTGATGGGAATTAAAATGGTACAGCCACTATGGAAAACAGTTTGACAGTTCCTTAAAAAGTTAACTGTAGAATTACAATATGACCTAACACGTCCACTCCTGATGTATACCCAAAAGAATTGAAAACAAATATTCAATTACTTGTACATAAATGTTCATAGTAACACTGTTCATAATGGCTGAAAAGGGGAAACAATCTAAATGTCCACCAACAGATGGTAAATGAAATGTGGTATGTCCATACAATCGAATATTATTCAGCCATAAAAAGGAATTAAGTACTAATACATGCTATAATGTAGATGTGCAAAGTGAAAGAAGCCAAATACAAAGAATAATATTGTGTGATTCCTTAGAAATGACACAAAATATCCAAACATCCAAAATAGGTAAATCTGTAGAGACAGAAAGCAGATTAGTAGTTGCTAGTGGTTTGGGGAGGGCGAAATGGTGACTGCTTAATGGTCTTGGGATTTCCTTTTAGAGTATTCAAAAGTCTTGGAACTGGATAGGGGTGATGGTTGTACAATATAGTAAATGGACTAGATGCCACTGAATTATGCTTTAAAATGGCTAGTGATTGATTCTGTTGTTAATTTCACCTCAATATAAAAAAATTTAAATGTATATGTACTAACCATAAAAGACAAAATTATGAATAAATAGGACATAGTCAAAACTTAAAAAATTGTATAAAAGACATTAAAGGGTTAATGTATGTAAATGTCAAATCACTGTTGTACACCTGAAATTAATACATTGTATGTCAATTATACTTCAATAAAAAGTAAATAAATAGCAAAGGAAGATTAAAAGTCAAGCCACAGAATGGGAGAAAACATTTGTAATATATATATCTAACAGAATTTGTACCCAGAATATATAAGGAAATTAGTCAGTATGAAAAATTTTTTAATGAGTCAAAAGAAACAGATACTTCTCTAAAAAAGATTTACAATGAGCACATGAAAATATGCACAGTATTGTTAGTTATCAGGGGAATGCAAATTAAACCTTGGTGGGATCCCAATTCACAAGACTGACAGTACCAAGTACTAAGTTGTGGAGTATCTGGAACTCTTCATACATTACCAGTGGGATATAAAATGGTACAGCCACTTTGGAAATCAGTTTGGTAGTGTCATATACCTATTCTATGATCCGGCAATTTCACTTCTAGGTATTTACCTAAGAGAAATGAAAACATGTTCATAAAGAAGACTTGCATAAGACTGTTCATAGTCTGTTTTATTCATAATAACCCAGAAACAGCTCAGAAACAGAAGAAATAAGCAGAGTGTGTATTTTCATACGATGGAATGTTACTTGGCAATAAAGAGAAACCTATCAGTGATGGGATAGGAGGGGGATTGACTGCAAAGGAGGGAACTACGGAGATAGAAATGTTCCCTATCTTGTTTGGAGTGTTGGGTACTTAGGGTATACATTTGTCAAAACTCATGGAACTATACACTTAAAATCTGTAAATTATGCCTCAACAAAGTTGATTTAAAAAAAAAAAGGCAGCAAGCTCCATAGTTAGGGCTCCTCAGACATAGCGGTTATTCCACTTTATTTGGGCTGCCAAGACCTCAAACTTTAAGTGAGACTATAGGAGGCCACATCCACCCCCTTGCATCCTATTCATGTAAAAACAGCATGGGACAGAGTTCAAGTTACCCTTTTAATCATCCATCTTAATCATTCTCTAATGTGGATTGGGCTTAGCTCAACTGTGAAGGCAGAATTGGACATAGTTCTAGTGGTATCCCAGGGGTGGGACATTCCTGATAATGTAATCAAACTTCCTAACAGCAGAAAGGATTTTTGCAGCTCTCATGGCAGACTGGATCGGAGGAGGAATGGCCAAGAATTAGCAGCCATTGTCTCCCTGAAAGGGTAGATGACTTTGTTTACAAGAACAAAAAGATCTGTGTTAGTCTTTGTGGGGCATTTGTGGGGAGGATGATAGATGGTTGGTGCTATTAGAGAAGGGGTCATGGTCAACTAAGGGTGTTTTTCACTTTTTTAAAGGACTGTAAACAAACAAAATCAGGTAATAATCAACAAAGACCATATATGGCCTGTAATGCCTAGAAATAACATCTGGCTCTTTATAGGGAAAGTTTCCTGACCCCTCTTAATCCACAATCCTGAGTTTAAGAGCAGGAGCAACTGGTTTTGGGTAGATTGGCAAGGAAAGGAAATTATATTTCTGCCAGATTAAGTGGATAGATGGAACTTTTCTCTCATGGATTATAATTGTGCAAAAGGCAGAACCTTTGATAAATTCTTGCCCTGGGTTTTTCCAATGTGTTTTCTTATACTCCAGCCATACTGGAGAAATTGAAATGCCCCATGTCTGTTCCTCTACCGAGAATGCCCTTTCTCCTTCATCTGGTAGATCTTCTTGTCTAACTAAATCTACCTCCTCAATGGGGCAGAATAGTCACTCCCTCCTGTGTGTTTCACACCACCAGAGTAGCACCTAACAGACACTTGACTTGTCTGTTCCCCTCAGTAGATAGGCTCCGAGCTCCTTGGGTACCGGAAGTGTAGCTTTCAAAGTTTTTTTTGCTGCAAAGGGTTCTGGCCCCAGACATGTGTTTTTTAAACATTTATTGAACTGAATCCAGCTACTGGTTATCCCTTGATATAGAAGCCTGGGTTGCCTAGAGATCAGAGATAGTAATTTAGGAGCAGGCTGAGGTAACAAATAAGTTTCCTAGAGCTGATGCATCTGGATTTCATTTTCAGCGTACTGAACAGAGGGACATAAGGAAAGCAAAATTGAAAGAAAAGAAGGAGCAGAATCAGAATGAAGCTTTACTCCAGGCCATCAAGGTGAGTTCTTAAACCTTAAGCCCTTATGGTTTTGCTAAATCCACTAATACTGAAGCTTGTTGGGAACCTTTTCTTGCAATGCCTTATCTGAATGAATGAATTTGTTCATTTTCTCTCTGCTTTGATGAAGTAGTGTGACCCCCTCTACAGTGAGACCCCCATGAGTTTGGGCAGCTATCTTGCTTGTTTACATGTGTTAGTCTCAAGTAACTTTTGCTGAAGAGTTGGTATGGGTTAAGCATTATTTAATTTTCACAATGACCTTCTGAAGTAGGTCATGTTCCTGTTTTGCTTGATGACAACATAGCTCAGAGATGTAAAGATACCTCACACATCTCATGTGTGTTAGAGCCAGGTCCTTGCTCGTAGACACTATGAAACTGCATCCTGAGAAGTCTGAATTTTTAGGATGTTGCTCCACTAACAATAACAACAAAGAAGTCTACCTCCTCTGCTCTCTCCTCCCTGCATTTTAAATGAATATAGTCTGATCCAAATCTTGCTTTTACCTGGATACCCAGCAAATCACCTCTTGAGCCATGACTTGCTTGGTCTTCACAAGAGAGAGAACACCTGCCATGAGACTGTGGGATAGGTTCTGGTTTCATTCTTTGCTGAGTTAAATTATGTACCCATTTAAGTTACGGGTTGACTTTGAGATCTTCACATTACTAAGATGCACTCCACTAGTCTATCCCCATAACAAGCAATCTGTTAGCCCATGTTAACAGATGAAACAGAATGGAACACTCCAGGTTCTCCATCTAATCCTCATTCACTGTGAGGGATTTGGTTATTTTCTAAAATATAGGATATTGAAATGACCAGATATTTGCATACAGACCTTATTTTGGTTCTTTCCTTTAGTCTAACTCTGCATCTCAAACTTCAGTGTACGCAAGAATTAATCCTAACAGTAGTAGTATAAGCCATGTATACTATATTTTAGGATCAGGCTGGGGTAACAGAAATGAGTTTCCTAGAGCTGACACATCTGGATTTCATTTCCAGTGAACTGAACAGAAGGACATAAGGAAAACAAAGTTGAAGAAAAGAAGAAGCAGAATCACTGACTCATAGCCCTACCTTGTGGTATTACCTGTAGCTGTTTTCACACTGCAAAGGCAGAGTTGAGTAGTTAATTTCAACAAAGACAACAGAGCCTAAAATATTTCCTACCTGACCCTTCAAGGAAAAGGTTGCCAACCCCTTATTTAGGAGCTATCGTCAAAGGTAATTTTGGGCTGTTTGCCTCTAGAGCACACCCATACTTCCTCCTTGAGTGTGTACTTTGCTTTATTAAACTACTCTTTGCTTGTTTAAAAAAAAAAAAGGTAATTTTAATTGCACGCGGTTTTCTCATGTGCTGGCCTTAGGAACCTCTACACACAGATATAAGATGTGACTACTCTTCAGACCTTTGATTTATCCTTATTTCCATTTGACAGATCATCTGCATTATTTTTAGTATTCTACACCCTAGCTAAACTGAAACTTTTGCCATTTTTATACATGCTACATTCTTGATCTTTTCTGTGCCTTTGCACATGTTGTTCCTTGGGTTGGATTGCCTTTGGATCCCTTTCTCCCAGCTTCTCAGCCTTTCAAAGTCATTGTTCAGGGCCTAATATCTTCCAGTTACCTCCAGCCCCTAGACTGAATTGATTTTTCATAGTCTACAGTTCCACAGCTCCATTTCTGACCTTGTATTGTACTGATTTCCATAGTTATCTCCTCACTAGACCATGAACAGGGTCTTGAGGCAGGAACCATATCTAGCTCATATCTGTGACACAGAGTCCAGCATGGTGGATGCCTGGTAAAGGTGAGTTAAACAAGTGATGCCTACTATGTGCCAGGCCTCAGAGATAATGAAGCTGAATCACACATACAGCTGGCGCTCAGGGAGCTTGCCGTGTTACGGTTTCCTTATTTTAGTGAGATGGAATTGCATCCTCCACATAATAAGGTGTGTGTGTGTGTGTCTGTGTATGATTCTGTCTTTCACCCAGGCTAGGAACATCAGGCTAGCTTCTGAAGCTGCGGATAAGGATGAAGATTCAGCCTCAGAAGGTCTGGGTGAGCTATTCCTGGATGGGCTCAGCTCTGAGAACCCCTATGGAGCCAGGCTGAGTGTCGATGACCAGGGCAGACTAAGCTGGCCTGTGCTCCTTCTATACCCAGAGTATGCCCAGTCGGACTTCATCTCTGCTTTCCATGAGGACTCCAGGTACTTGTGTGCTCTTTCCCTGATGTCTCAGCAGGAGGGACAGGTAGATTTTTGGTTGAGGAGGGAAGGGAATAGTTTAGAGGGTTTTACACAGTCTGCTTTGGTATAATCTCTATCCTGTACCTGATTTCTCCCTTTACTAATTAGCTTTGCAGGGACAGACACAAGTCTCAACACCATACTGACTGGGCTCAGAAGGGTAGTACCACAATACAGTGTCCATCCAGCACTGGTGCATATCTCTGGTGAGATATGAAAGCATTGTAGGCAGTACATGCATGGTAATGAAAGTGTATATTTATTAGGAAAAATATAACTAGCAGTTTTTAACATGTGATTTTTTAGGATTAATGCTTAGAATGTGGCTAAATGTAAGGAATGTTGTTAAGCCTGAGTTAGTTTTAAGAAAATGACCGTCATAATAAGACAAGTGAAACACACACACATTTTGGGCACTGCTCTCAAAATGGCATAAACCTGCATTTCATGTGTTACACATTTTTTTTTATCTCTGTGAATTGGTGTCCAGGGACTGTGATGTAGGAAAATAGATCATGAGTTTTTGGCACCCAAAAAATACATGTTATATCCTTAGGTTTATTGATCATCTGATGGTGATGTTTGCTGAAATGCCCTCTTGGGACTTAGAGCAAAAATACTGCCCTGATAATTTAGAGGTAAGAGAAGTTTTAATTTTGCTCTTCTGTGGGACTGGGGGAGGAAGGCAGAGTTTCCTTTTTTAAAATATTATAAAATGTGCCATTTTAACCATTTTTCAGTGCAAACTTCAGTAGCATTGTTACACAGTCATCACCACTATCCATCTCCATTTTCATATTTCCAGACTAAAATTCTGTACCATTAAACACTAACTCCCCATTACCCACTCCCCACCAGTCCTTGGCAACCACCATTCTACTTGGTTTTTGAATTTACTTCTCCAGGTACCTCATAACTGGAATAATACAATATTTGTCCTTTTATATCTGGCTTATTTCACTTAGCATAACATCTTGCAGGTTCATGTTCTAGCATGTGTCAGAATTTCCTTCCTTTTTAAGGCTGAATAATACTCCACTGATTTTTTAAACAAATAATTACAACTTACACTACAAAGAAGTTGTCTTCTAAGCATCTGAGAGTAAAATGCCAACATATGGTCCACCACCCCTGAATATCTTAGTGTCTGTTTCCTACAGACAAGAATATTTTCCTTCATAATCCCAATCAACCATCAAAATTAGGAAACTAACTTTGATACACTAGTACCATCTAATCCTCAGACTCCATTCAGTTTTTACAAATTGTCCCAGTCATGTCCTTTATAGCAAAAAGACCCTTCAGAATCCCATAGTGCATCGTATTTAGTGGTCATGTCCCTTTAGTCTCCTTCAGACAGTGGAAGAGTTTCTCAGTCTTCAACTTTCTTGCTCTTAATACTTTTGAAGATGAAAGACCAGTTGTTTTGTGGCACATCCATCAATGTGGGTTTGTCTTGTGTTTCTCGATGACTAGATCTGTATTTTGCGTATTTGGCTGAAATATCATGGAAGTGATGCTGTGTTCTCATTGCATCTATCAAATGCACATGATTTCAGTCTGTCACATTACTGATGATGTTCCTTTTGAGCACCTGATTGGGGTGGGGGTCTGCCAGGCTTCTCTACTGTAAGGTTACTCTTTTCCCCTGTGTGATTAGGTGATTAGTATTTTATAGAGGGGTACTCTGAAGTGATGTAATTAGCCCATGGTTCATCAAACAGGATTTATGGTTTCTGATTTTATTCATTGACTTATAATCTATTACTATGATTATGTTATGTTTAAATTGTCCCAGATTTGGCCAATGGAAATGCGCTCACATTTTTTTCTGTATCCTTTTGACTTGTCTCTATTTTTTAAGTACTTCCTTGCATTTTGGCACAAGATGTTCCAGATTCAAATCGTGCTTTCCTTGCCCCAGCTTTGGAATCTGTCAGACATTTTTCCAAGGAGCCTTGGTTCTTTTTAGTGGAAAATGGTAGTTGGAAGTCAAAATCTGTGTGACAGCTATTTTCATAAGTACAGGGCTGCAGGGAGGGATGCTCACTGCTCCAGTGCCGTGTGTGTGTGTATGAGAACTGCGGTCTCACTGGTATCTCCAGTTCCAATCCAACACCACAAGACCTGTCTCCTCCCTTTCTATAATTGTAACAGTGGCTTCTATTATTAATATATTTGTGTTTGATCAAGTCCCCTGTACTTAATCCTCCTCCTGTCACCACCGCTGTCTGCTCTCCCTCATCCCGTGCACATTCCTGACACCCCATGCTGTCCCAGCACCTGGCAATCTCCTCGTCCTGCTTGGGCTCTCACTCCCTGTAGCAGGCTACCCCTTGCCATAAGTGGTTACCTTCCATACCCTGGGTCCTGACACCCCGTATTTTATTTGCTGTCCCTATACATGGACACCCTTCTCACCTGCCATGGGCTCTGACAGCCCACCCCGGACAGCCATCTTCTTATAAGGGAGCCCTTTTCATCCTGCCTAGTCAGGCTGGCTCCCACCAAGGATGCCCTCCTCCTCTGATTGGACTCTGACACCCCTTACCCCTGGCAGTCCTCCTGGGCAGACAGCTTCCTGTCCGTGCTTGGGCTTTGACACCTGCACAGGGCCATCCCCAGTGTGGGTATCCTTCTCACCCTGTGCAGGCTCATCCCTGACCCTGGGTCACCACGGTTTTTCTTCCTCTGTACCTAAGGGTCTAGGACTGAATTATGAAGGCTGGGAAAGCTCAGGAACCTGAGCTTGAGTCTTGGCTGCAAATATTTCTTAGCTGGGTTTCATTGGTGAGTTATTTCCCTTCCCTGAGCTTTGGTTTCATCTTTTGGCAAATGGAGCCGATCATACCTTTCTGAGTGTCATGGGGGCAGACTGAGTGCCTGATATCCACAACTCTAAAAGGGAGGCACTCAATTAATAACATTTTCTGTCTCTTTAATGTGTCCCTAGACTTCACCTCAGTATGCCTAGTGCTATTAAAGTCCTTTATTTGTGTCTGACTCCTGCTCCTCTGTTACCCTTGCAGGTCTACTTTGAGGATGAGGATAAGGCAGAACTATACCGGGTGCCTCCCAGAAGCACCCTGCTACAGGTGCTACAGCACCCCAGGTGAGTCACCTTCTTGGAGCTGAACAGAATAGAGGAGATGCTCAGGCACCATCCCAGGGACACAGCCAGGTTCTCATTCCTCCACAGATGGACACAGAGGGGTGTGAGACAGCAGCCATGGAGACTGGCCTAGGCCATTGGCCAGACAGGTTGCAGTGTGGTGACTTGGCTCATGGCACTGCACTATGGCACCAAGACTGGAAGTGAATGGGGTTGCTCTGAGAAGGGAAAAGCTGCCTGGCTTTTGTATCTGAGGACAGCTGGGATGGCCCTCCTTGTCCCAGTTGTACCTGTGCCCCTGATAGTGCTCTATGGCAAGTGCATTGGCCCTTGACATTAGACCCCGTCATTTACTGACTGTGACTCTAAACACATATGGCCTCTCTGGGGAGGTTTCCTCATTTTTAGAATGTAAATAACTCTTGCCTACATATTTCTCACATATTTGGGAGCCAGTGACAGAGTAGGAGTCAAAGTGCTTTTGTGAACTGAAAAGGGCAGTCTTGCTGTAAGAGGACATTTTTGTTAACAGACATAACAGATGAGGCAGCCAGTTGGATTTGGCAGTGTCTCTTCCACTTTGAGGTGTTCCTGAACTATAAGGGAATGCCCTCAGTGGATTTATAAGTGACTTTTGGACTACTTTTCCCTAAGCTTTGAGCAAAGCAAATGCTCTTGCATTTAGGCTGAAAGAGCCCGAAGGGGGAATGAGGGTGGGTGAGTATGGTGGGAAATGGTCTAGGGCCATCCATGCAGGCCCTGAATGTCTTGCTGAGGAGCAGAAACTTTATCCTGATGGTGGTATATGGAGCCATACAATGTGTTTAGGTAATATTTACAGAGTAATGTCCAGATTTTAATGGTGAGATGATGTGAAATAAGGAACGAATTGGAGAGATGAGAGGGCAGACTGGATGGGACCTGGTGATGTGGTTACTGACTTGGTAGGGGTGTCCAGCTGGTTTTGGTGCTTCTACTTCTGTTCTTCAGGCAGCAGGCGAAGGTTGCTTTGGATATGACCAAAGACTTCTCTTGGCAGTGTTTTTTTACTGGCCCCAAATCTCCTTTATAGACAGTTTTTTAGACAGATTTTTAGCTGTTCATTTTCTCAGTTGTTAACAAGTTACTCAGAGTTCTTGGAAGGCTTGAGATACATTCTGGCCCATCTCCAAAAAAAGGGGGAGAAATCTAAATGTAAAGCAGACTGATCTGTGGAGGAACACAAGTTTCATGCTTCTCAGAAAGTATAAATGCTATTGGAAGTATTTGCTTTTTAAATGATTAGCATAGGCAAAAGAGTACCCAGGACAGGTTTCCAGCAACTTCAGACCGTGAATTGGGTGGGCCCAAGATACAGGCTTTTCTGTCCAGATCGAGGAACACTGGGTAATGCTAACACCCCTTGACCTGGGAGCCCAAGGCCTCGCCTGCCTCTCCAGCCTGCTCCACTCCATGTACCCTAGGCCCCAACAACAGCAAATATTCTGGTGACTTGCACCTCCTGGCTTTTGCTCCCCTGTGCCTTTTTCATATTGAAGTCAAGCTCAGATACAGCATCTTCCAGGAAGCTTTTCTTGATTCCCCTTCCCTATAGAGGAATCACACCCTTTGGGCTAATGCTGTAACTCACAAATGCTTCTACAGTTGTGCCCTGCTGTCATTAATTGATTATTTCTGTTCCCCTAGGACTTGAGAACAGGATGATGGTTTTGCTTGTTTTTAATCTTTCTGTTTCCAGCACATGTCACTGCTGAGTGAATGAGTGAAAGCATAGTTCCTGGAATTTTATTTCATGTTTAGCCACAGACATACATGGTGCCAGAGAACTGGTTCAAAGGTCCGGCTAGGTTGTAAATGGGAGGTCATGCTAATTTGCCAGATTTATAAACAACTAAACAAATAAATGCACTAAACTTGCATTTTAATAGTGACTCACCTTGAATGTTGTTGGGAAGGTCCATGAATGATTAAGATTGTAATTCAATTAACCCTTCTCATGTTCCTTGCAGGTACTGGGTAAAAGCCCTGACACCAGCCTTTTTGGTGTGTGTGGGATCCTCTCCCTTTTGTAGGAGTTATCTCCAGGGGAGAAAGGTGTCCCAGGTAAAGTAACTGCCAGGCTGTGGGAGCTAGGTCCCATGGATCTCCTCCCTCACCCTCCTTTGTGTGGAGCCTGGCATCCTTCAATCAGATGGACATACTGCTAGAATCTAGCACATTTTTCTCACCCTGGGGACAGTGGTGGGGGAAGAGCTGCTGACTTCCCTGAACTGTAGCCTCTCTGGTCAATGTACTGAGTTACAGCTGGTTTTCACTCTCTTCTTTTGATACAAAACTCTGTGCCTTGGTCGTGATACCTCAGACTCACTGTGAGCTGTGTTAATCACCAGCTGCCATCTCTGAAGGGACCATCTGTTGCAGACCCAACTGACCCAAAGAACTCTGGCCTGTGGCCACTGACTCAGGATCCAGTGGCATAGTTCTGAACCTTTGTGGAGTTAGAGGCCTCAGAGAAGCTGCCCCTCAAACAGCACATATACAACCCACACGTGTAATTTTAAGGCATTAAAGGTGAGAGACACTGACTTCCGGTTATTTCATGAGCACAGAGGGTTGCTCTAGCACGGGGTGCTGTAGATGTGTTGGGGTGAGATGGAGCCAAGAAAGCTGGGTTCTATTTCTACATCTATAAAGACTACAAACTGGGGTCCTTCAGAACCTGTAAAAAGTTTGCCACTTTTCCTCATCTTGCAGTATGGAGAACTGTGACAGACTTGGAGTGAACTCTGATTCCTCTCCTGTTCTCACATTTTACGATTTTGTGCCTTTTAAGCTGGAAAACCTTTTCACCCATGTGAAGTCATTGTCATAGATTGTATTTTTGTCTGCAGCTCTTTGCTTCCTCCTTCCTGGAGGATTTCATATATCCTTAGCTGTGGCCATTCTTGCAGTGCCCACCCCATTCCCCAGGGAGGAGTGTACTTCCCTGGCCCCAGTGCAGGGGGATGTGAGTGAATATGGCCAGACAGAAGCTTGAAGAGTCAGTGTGTGGTTAGCTTATGCTCTTTCCCTCTGCTGTGAGAATGTATTCCCCAGATAAGGGCTGTTCCCTTAGCTGGGTGCCGGAATGGTAAGGCACATGGAGCAGAGCTGAGGCTGCGGGTGTGCAGCCGTTGATTGTAACATGAATGAGAAATCCTTGTTGTAGCTTATATAAGCACTGAGATTTGGGGGTTGTTTGTTACTATAGCAAAGCTAACTCATGCATCATTAAACTGGAACCAGCTGCTGTCCTTGAGATGGATTAACTTTGGGGGTTTGTGCTGTGCACTTCGCTGTCTCTGAAGGGCAGTTTACTGTGGAATATTTATGAAAAGAACCAAGTAGCTTTCCTTCCAGATACAGGTCCTGGCCTGTGGCTTGTGGCCAGAAGCTGAAGTCCAGCCTCCTCTTAAGCCTGGCTTAGGCCATACTGAGGCTATTCTCACTTACTCCTACTCCCTGCCAGAGACTCCCTGTTTGGCTTTCTTTGTAAGAACTCAGCACTTCATTTTAGAGGCCCGACGTTTAGTTAGCAACAACACTGTAGCAGTCATTGCAGGGTTTCCTGTAGCAGCCACCTCACCCTCATGGGGCACAGCAGATTCCACTTGCCACCTTACTCATCTGAAAAACACACTGATTGCCCTGCCCCCTTCCTAGACACTGTGAAACTGTGAAGAGATGCCAGATGAGAGCATGTTGTACACCTGAGAAGGTTCGTTCTATGACGTTCATCTCCACCACCCTGCCCTTTCACTAGATTTCTGGCAGGCCCCTCACCCCCAACAGCTAGGTGGGGCAGAAGTGGAAAGGGGAGAAAAGAGATTTAGAATGGCTGTTAGACCAGAGGTAGGATCCTGTGACTGCCAACTGCTGTTTTGACAGTAAGGGACTGCTGCTTTGAGCCTACTTCATCTGCACAGTGAGTCACTGCACTCACCTCATAGGCTTGCCTGTGGCATTTCTGTGCAGACACTGTATGCAATGCCCAGCCTGGCACAAAATTATTCAGTAGCTAGCTTCTAATTCAAGCAAACCATATCCAGAGGCCCATCTGTGCAGACCAGCAGCACTTGACCAGTGATTCTCAACCAGGGGCAATTTTGCACCCCAAGGGACATTTGCCAATGCCTAGACATTTTGGGTTTTCACAACTTGGTGGGATGCTACTGGCATCTAGTGAATAGAGGCCAGGGATGCCACAAAACATCCTACAATGCTCAGGACAGCCCCCACGACCAAGACTTCTCTGGCCCAAACTGTCGATAATGCTGTTTGAGAAAACACACTGAACCTTCTGGAAAGCAGTATTTCTGTGGCCTGGGCTAGATGGGGATTTGTCTGAGTGCCCAGGCCTGACACAGTCGGAGCTCAGTGAGTGTGAGTGTGCTTGTGCTGATAAGTGAATGGATGGATGAACAAATGAACGAATTAACGAAAAAAAAATAAACCAGAGACCTGTTCTGATCCCCTCTTCCACACACAAGCACAGCAACAGCCTTCCCATGCTCAAGCCCAATGTCCTCGTCGTACACCACCAGAAAGTGCTCCTGGCCTCTTCAGCCCACAGGCTCCACCTCCTCCTACCTCTGCCATCTTTGGCAGGAGGGTGGGATGGGCTTGGACTAAGGAGCAGACCTCAGAGGTTAGGACTAGAACTCAGCTGGGCAAGGAGCAGGGGTCCTCATGGGCAGCACAGGCCTGGAATGTGTGCCAACCCCCCCGGCTGCACACCCCCAACCCTCACCATCCTGTGGTTCCCAGCTATGCAAGACTACAGGCCATGCCAAGTTTGCCTGCCTCACTGAGTGCGTGGCCTGGCCCAGTCTTGGCCCTGCTACAGGCAGCTGGCAGTCTGGCTGAGCAAGGCTGGAGTATTGGGGAAGGGTGCTGCGTGCTCCCCCTCCTGAGGGATGGGGCCAGTGGTGGGGACAGGTGGCCCCTGAGGTGGGCATGTCCAGCAGGGTATTGGGGCCTGGCCCTTGCCAGGTGCCTCCCTGACCCTGTGTGCCTAGGATGTTAGCAGAAACAAGTTGGAGATCTCAAGGATTCAACTGTCCCCCACCTCATTTTACAGATGAGAAAACTGGCCTAGAGAGAAGGCAGGTCCCAGTGTCTTCTGCATCCCTGATTTGCAGCAGTGTTTCTCCCCACCCTTGGGCCCCTCCTCCCCACAGGATGGGAGTGCAGCCTTCCCAGGGTCAGGCTGGAGGTGGAACCACTGACTTGTCTGGTTACCTCTGTGGACTTGGGGTGGCAGCTAGAGAACTGGGTGGGGGATTCAAGTCCCCTTAAGCCATCCCCTGAATATAGGCTGGGAGGTATGCAAGGGTAGGCAGGGGACAGGAAAAGGTAGTGGCTGTCAATACTGAGCCGGCACCACGCAAACTGTTTACCTGAATCCTCTCATTTCATCCTAACAGACACACTTTCAGGTCTGTGATCCCCATTTTATAAATAAGGAGATGGGGGCATGCAGTCTAATCATTAGTGAGTATTAGAGCCAGGAGTTGAACCCAAGTATCTCAATCCAGAGCACATCTGCTGCTCCTTTGTTCCTTTTATTCCATTTGCTTTATAAACATTTCACTGGCATCAACTAAGGGCAGGGCATCAAGGCTGAAGTGCATCACGCAGCCTCTGCCTTCAAGGCCACACTATTGTAATGATCTAACCCTGGGCTGGGAATGAGGACACACACAGCCACAACAAGCAAGTCAGCCCCCACTCTCTTGGAACACTCACACCTGCTTCCCTTCCTCCACCCCCAAATGCTCTTTCCCTTTACCATGTAATCCCTAATCTTTATAGTCAGGCCCAGTTGCCTCCTCTGGGAAACCCTCCTGGCCCCTATGCCGTATGTCCCAAGGTACCTGCACCATCACATTTATCACATTACACAGAAATTGCTTCTGCACAGTTCTATAAACAGTCAAGGACCCTGAACTATGCCTTTCTCTATCACAGGAGCTAGCACAGCACCTGCTCAGCACAGAGCAGGTGCACAACTGAATTTCTGACTGATGACACGGGAAGGGATGATGAGTTCTGAATAGATAGGGGTGGAAACTTTCACATGTGATGGATGTGGGCTGTGAAGTTGAAGAAGGAATGGGGATGGGGTGGGGTGAGGTGGACGGGCCTTCAAGCAAAGGCCAGGAGCACATTCCAGGAGTAGTGCAATGCTGGCCTGGCTGAGTACAACAGCTGCCAGCCAGTGAGCTCAGAGCATGCCAGCCAGTGTTCTAGGTCTTTCTGGATTGGCTCACTTAATCCTCCCCACACCTCAAGGAGACAAAGACGTTTATAGCACCATTTTACGGTAAGAAAAGTGGAACAGAGAGGTAACTTACCCAAAGCCAGTTAGCTAGTAAAAAGTAGCACCAGAATGCAAATCCAGGACTCCCCCAAGCCCTTCAGGAAATATTAATAACAAACTGGGCCCTGGCCTTTGAGGATGTGGCAAGAGATTCAGTGGCAGGAGATTCAGTGGCCCCTGCCTGCTCACTCCAAGGTTACGATAGTCTTGGGATTTCACTGTCAAAGCAAAGTTCCCAACCTGTCAGCCTGGGTAGAAGAATCCAGTCTTCAGAAAACCATGCTAGAGCCCACAGCCAAATCTCCACACCACTGACATCCTGCCCCACGGTTCCCATTAGCCCGTGAGCCTTCTGGGTGAGCCTGGGTAAAAGTTGTACCCTTGCCAAGAGGGCTTCCTCAGTTACTACTAACTGATAAGTGCCACCTGCTCACTCTCCTTACCCTGCATGGTTTCAATTAGCCAAGGGCAATTAAGATTTAACCATGGGACTTTAACTCATTAGCAGCCTCTAGAGCTACTGGCTTAATAGGAATAGACACCATTCCTGCACCAAGGTGGTGCCTGAATGTGGGGAGCCTACAAGTGCCATCTCATTCTGCTGGCCCACACACTACCCACCCACCTACTGTGTGCAAAGGGCTAACTGGTCTAATCTAGGGCAGCTGCCACTTAGCCAGCACCTGCTGTGAGTTAGGAACTGTTGCCTTGTTTTACTGAGAAGGAAGCAAACAGTATGAGAAAATCTCTCTCACAAGGTCACATAGCTGTTAAGTGGCCCAGACACTCTTAACACCAGAGTCTCTAGTCTTGGTCACTATGACATAAGTCATTATTTTAAATTATATGAAGTAACTTGATTTTTTTTTGGAATTTCATTGTCAAAGCAAAGGCCCCAACCTGTCAGTCTGTCCCCAAGTTTGCAGTAACATCATTAAAATAGTTTGCCATTTTCCACATTACAGAAACTTTCCTAACTCTAAAACAAAGCCGTACATGCCCTTGGATGCCAACAATCCATTCTAAAAAACATTCTGGAGTCTTCATATAGAAGTCTGTGAAGAGGGAACAACAAATGTTGGCAAGGATGTGGAGAAAGGGGAACCCTCCTACACTGCTGGTGGGAATGTAAACTAGTTCAACCATTGTGGAAAACAGTATGGAGGTTCCTCAAAAAACTAAAAATAGAAAGACCATTTGACCCAGGAATTCCACTCCTAGGAATTTGCCCTAAGAATGCAGCAGCCCAGTTTGAAAAAGACATATGCACCCCTATGTTTATCGCAGCACTATTTACAATAGCCAAGAAATGGAAGCAACCTAAGTGTCCATCAGTTAGATGAATGGATAAGAAGATGTGGTACATATACACAATGGAATATTTTTCAGCCATAAGAAGAAAGCAAATCCTACCATTTGCAACAACGTGGATGGAGTTAGAGTGTATTATGCTCAGTGAAATAAGCCAGGCGGAGAAAGACAAGTACCAAATGATTTCACTCATCTGTGGAGCATAAGAACAAAGGAAAACTGAAGGAACAAAACAGCAGCAGACTCACAGAACCCAAGAATGGACTAACAATTGCCAAAGGGAAAAGGACTGGGGGGGTGCAGTGGAGAAGGGTGGGAAGGGAGGGAGAAGGGAAATAAGGGGCATGCATTTTGATTAGCACACAATGCGGGGTGTCACGGGGAAAGCATTATAGCACAGAAAAGACAAGTAGTGACTCTAGCATCTTACTATGCTGATGGACAGTGACTATAATGGGGTATGTGGTAGGGACTTGATAATGGGGGGAATCTAGTAACCAGTGTTGCTCATGTAATTGTATATTAATGATACCAAAAGAAAAAATAAATAAATAAAAAGCATAGCTCATTAAAAAAAAAAAGTCTGAGGAGGCCTGGCACTCAAGTAGTTAAGGAAATGGCAATTT